GAGGAACAAGAGCCAGGGAGCCAGTCAAGAATTGAAATGGAGGCTGGAGAGAATGAGCCACTGGGCCGTGTCAACACGGAAGATCAAGAAAAAGAAGTAATAGCCAGCCGTGCGGACAAGGCCAGAACCGCAAGAAATAAGATTGAGGTAGGGAAGATCATGGGTGAGCAAGACTCATCCATCAACACCTCTAGCCCCTGCGGGCTTAGTTTCAGTTGCCCACTTAGCAGTCCCGACTTGCGCCGCGCCTTTTGCCATGGAGAAACCGCCAATGGTCGCGGGCGGCTGAAGATCATGGAGCTCTTCTCGCCTCCAAGGGTGTCGCTGCTGGCTAAGGAGCATGACTTTGAAACGACGACTCCCCCCGCCTTTGATCAGAAGTCGGGATGGGAATTCTTCGATGCGAAACATCGTGCGGATTTTTGGCATGTGCTGCGAACGCAAGCTCCTGACGTGGTGCTCATGTCTCCTGAGTGTCGGCCTTTCTCAACCTTGATGGCCGTGAACGAGGAGCGCATGGAACCCGAAGTGCTGAAGCGCTTGAGGGCTCGTGGCATGGCTATGTTGCAGTTCAGCATCCAGGTGGCCGAATACCAGCTTCAGGCCGGGCGATTCTTTTGGCTGGAGCAGCCAGGATCGGCCAGTAGTTGGGCGACCTTTGGTGTGAAGTGGCTGCTAGAGCAAGAGGGAGTGATTCGTGTCTTGTGGGATCAGTGCATGAGTGGACTTCAGGTCTCGGCCAGAGGCCCATCCCGGAAGACCACAGGTTGTGTTACCAACCATCTCGGCCTGGCTGCAGTGCTTTCCGAGAGGCAATGTGATCATCAACATGTACATGTGCATTTGGAGCATGGCCTTCCACACAAGGCACAACACTACCCAGAAGAGCTAGTGAGACTGATCTTGAAAGGACTCTCTCTTCCTGATCGACCAACGACGTGTTACTCGGCGACCGGAGCCAACTTTCCAGTCGACGATGTGGAAGAAGACGAGGACGACGCAGCAGAAGAGGACATGAGTGGTGATAGAGCCTCCCCCGCCACTCCTGGCGTTGTGAGAAGGGATCAGGCTCTCAACTTCGAGCCCCTGACGCCAGAGCAAAAGAAAAAGGTGATGCAAGTTCATACAAACTTAGGACACATTTCACGAGAGCAGATGCTGTCATTGTTCAAAGCAGCCGGAGCCAAGCATAGTGTGATGCAGTTCGTGCGAGATCAATTTTCGTGCGAACAATGTGATAAACAGAAGAGGCCGCTGGAACGTAGGAAGGCAGCTGTTCCTCGTACTTTCACCTTCAACCGACACGTCGGCGCTGACATCTTTTACCTGTCTTTTCAAGGTCGGACCCTAGCGTACTTGAATGTGATCTGTCAAGGAACAAATTTCCAACAAGTGCATTGGATTCAAGAATTCCACGGTGGTTCACCTTCTTCCAAGAACGTTTGGAAGGCCTTCGTGGCGTGCTGGTTGAGACCTTTTGGGATTCCGGAGGTAGTGCTGACGGATGGTGGTTCCGAGTTTAAGGACCAGTTCGAGCGACACCTGGAACAGTTGAGTTGCTTGCAGATCATCAGCGACGCTGCTTCTCCTTGGCAAAACGGCCGTGTCGAGAGGCACGGCGGATGGTTGAAGGAGAAAGCTGAAAACGAGTTGACCTCTGGCAGCTCCTTGATCTCATCGCCACAGGACCTGGAAGAATTATTGATCAGCTTTACATCTTGCAAGAACAGATGGTATCATAGGGGAGGCTATTCCCCATACCAATTGGTGTTTGGATGCAACCCCAACATTCCCTTCGACCTTTTGTGCGACAACAGCCAAGATGTGGCATGGCAGGACGTCACCGCTGATCCCTACGATCAGGACACTGCTGGAGCTGAGTTTGCCAGAACTCAAAAGGTGCGTCAGAGAGCTCGAGAACTATGCGTGCAGTTCTCTTCCAAGGAGAGAGTGCGCCTCAGTGGAAATCAGCGAATGCTCAAGCAGACTCAGTGGGCAATTGGTCAGTGGGTGTTTGTGTGGCGTAGGGCAACTCAATCGGGCGGAAATGGACACCTGACTCGCTCTCGATGGGTCGGACCTGGCGTTGTTGTGCTGCAGACCGGACACACAGTCTTCGTGTCAATGAGGTCTCGGTTATGGAGACGATGGGTGCAGAACTAGCCAGAGTCGGAGAGCTGCAGGAGGTGCTTCAGTCCGCTCGCCAGTCCCGAGCCGGGGCGGTCGACGTGGCAAGTGAAGGATCCCCTCCTCTGGAGTCTTCCGAATTTCCCATTCCAGACCCGTCTAGAGTTCCCCTCGAGGTACATGATGGAACGACTGCAGAACCCGCTGAGGTTCGATCCCAACCACTTGCACCTATTCCTGAAGATCAACCTCTTGTTGGACCAGGTGCAGGCCATCCGTTGAGGCAGATTTCTCCCTTTCCTTTGACAGTAGCAAGGGCCAGAGACAGCATCGCCAGAAGCATTCGCTCCAACAGCTCTCTGGAAGAGCCTGGAGTTGAGCCAGCTCCAGAAGGGCAACCAGACAAGCGTAGGAGGACATCCTCTTCAACAGATCTCTCCAGCGAAGGAGTGGGCCGAGTCCAACGACAGGTCAGCCAAATCGAAGAAGCCCAAGCAGAGCGCGAACAAGCTGAACTGGAAAAGATTGCTGAGAAAGAGTTGAGGAGGTTGGATCGCCTAGAGCGGTTGGAGAGTCGAAGAGTCACAGCAAGATCCTCGGCATCAGACGCTCGAGCCTCCACGGATCCTCCATCGTCGACTCCAATCCAACCCATGCAGCTAACACAAGATGAGGCAGAGTCCACGGCGTTGTTTTTTGATTTGGACAGAAACAATTTGTTTTCACTGAAGGTGTGTTCAGAGGAGACTGGCAGTTTCTTGGCCAAGCCAATCAACACTCGAAACTCAGAGTTCGACATGAAGAAAGCCACTCCAGAGGAGCTAGCGGGTTTCAAGGTCTCAGATGCCCTTGAGTGGAAGACCATAGACGATCTTGGTGCCGTGCAAGTGCTGACAGGTCAAGAAGCCATTGAAACCCGAAGGAAGTTTCACGACCGCATCTTGAGCTCCCGAATGATTCGAAGGAAGAAACCTATGCCTGGAGTTGGGAATTGGAAGTTCAAAAGCCGGTGGTGCCTTCATGGTCATCATGACCCAGACGGTGGAACCTTCAAGACGTTCTCCCCCATGCCGAGTTCAGAAGCAATCAACTTGTTTTTTCAGCTGGTGTTGAACTTGGGGTTCAAAATTGCTTATGCCGACGTGCAATCAGCATTCTGCCAGGCCAAGCCATTGGAGAGACCGAATGGTCCACTCTACGCAGAGCCTTGCCCTGGACTCAACCTCCCAGACGGGGCACTGATTCGTGTGGTGGCACCGATCTATGGGCTGGATGATGCCCCTTGGCGGTGGCATGAGACACTTCAAGAGTTCTTTGCTGACTTGGGTTTTCGCCCTTGCCTCCTAGAATCCTGCTGGTTGGTGAAGGAAGAGCACGGAGTTATTTTGGCATTTGTTTTGATCGAAGTTGACGACCTCAACATTGCTGCCAATGAGAAATACTGCGTGTTCCTCAAGGAGAAATTGTGCAACAGGTTCAAGTTCGGGAAATGGGAATTTGGTGAGGCAGACTTTGCTGGACGACATGTCAAATTTGAAGAGAAGAGAGTCTTGATGAATCAAGAGAAGTATATCCTTGAGAAGCTGCACGTTGTGAAGGCTCCTCGAGGTCTTCTTGCAAAAAAGGAGGCCATCCTAGGAGGAGAACTCTTCGAAGAATACCGCTCGATGTTATATAGAGTGAACTGGCTCGCTCATCAAACTCGACCAGAAGCATCGGGAGCGGTGAGCATTTTGTCGTCCAGGCTCAACAAAGCCTCCGTCTATGACTTGGGTTGTATGAACCGCATGGTGATACACATCAAATCCACAGCCAGTCAACCACTGGTGCTGCATAAGTTTGACAACAGTAAGATGGTCTTTATTGCAGCATCAGATGCGGGTGGCGTGGGAAGCAAGCCAATCATTGAAGATCAACATGAGGTTTCAGACACGGTTCAAGGTGCTTGGATAGTGTTTGCCTCTGATCAATTTCCAAGCGCCAACAACAAGGTTCGGATTTCAACCCTCTCATGGCGTTCGAGCAAGTTGAAAAGAAAAGTGTCTTCGACCCTTGCAAGCGAAGCCTTAGCCTTTAGTCAGGCCTTGAGTGAGATAGAGTGGTTGCAAGTGATGGTGCGTGATGTATTGCATGGCGATATCAACAGGACAGACTGGTCGGGTCAGATTCGTCCATATCTTGCCGTCCTCAATGGACAAGGTGAGCTCCGTGGCAGATTAGACCAATGCGCCATCACAGACGCGAAATCGTTGTTCGACAGCATCTTGAAAGAAAGTTCATCGTCCAGACAGGACCGTCGCACTGCGATTGAGCTGGCAATAATCCTGGAGGCTGTGAAACGATCCAAGAGCGTCGTACGATGGAGTCCTCATCCTCGTATGGTGGCAGACACACTCACCAAGGAGGACATCTCTCGTTCGAATGGAGCACTGGAAGAGGCACTTAGAACTTCGAAGTTATGCCTCTGGGATGAAGATGCAGAGCTGAAGAGACGGCAACAAAGTCCTGCGGCCAGACTACGTTCCAAGAGTGCAGCCAGTTCGTTCAGAGAAGATGCAGTGTCTCTACTGTGTTTGGTCAACAAAGATTACCGGGAGCTGTTAAATATGTACCACCTGACTGACGTTTGAGCCTTTGACCAAACACGCTTGAGGCCCTGTTCGACCGTTCGCTCATCCTCCAGCTTCGGCGAAACCGCCGCTAGTCGTACCATGAAGCCCGTAGAAAAGACTGTTTGAGTGCCCGCTACCACTGGCTTTGCTGTCAGTCTCTTTAAGTTAACATGTATTAGATGTCATATGATTCACAATGCTCAGCCGTCTCCAGGCTTGCGCACTGCCACCCCCTGGAACACATCCCCCCGCCGTCTCCAGGCCTTCACGCCGGCGGAGTTACCCCTATCCATCTCTGGCGCTTCTGGGTGCCGGACCTCACAGGTGCCGGACCTTTGGTTCGTTTTGTCGTGTTTCTCACAGGTTCCAAGGTGCGTTGTTCGGGACTGTGTGTTTCGAATTTGGGTGGCAAGTGTTTTTCTTCTTTTTGAAGGTGAAAAGAACGGTGAAGTTTGGATGTTGTCTGGTAGAACCCACTCCTTCACCGCAGCTTCTGTCAGTCCAGGTGCCGATCCAGGAAGTCCTGCAGGCTGTGGAGGCCTTGACAGGAGCGGATTTGGGGCGACCTGGAGCGGATCTTCCGTCGGGGAAAATGTGAAAACGTGTTCATGCCGCCATTCTGCAGGTTGCGAACCGGTTCGGTTCAGTGGTGAAGATAGATTGTTGAGGAAAAAATCACCCGCCAGATGGACATTATGTAATATAAAACCATTCTTGTAGGACCGAAGGTTGTTTTCTCAATCAACAGTCAACATTCGTATGGTTCACTGGTACTGATTACTGACGAACGTTCCTGTGGTCGTTCTGCACTTGGAAAGGTGGGCGACCGAAGTACAAAGGTCTGCGACCGGCGACCACTCGACCGGTTGAGGACTGGGCCTTCAATCAGAAGGTGTTCACAGCCAGCAAAAGGCTTGGGAATGGATGGTCGGACTGTTGTGGTTTGAACGGACGTCCACACTCACTGCGGGGTTGGGGGAGCCGTGGCCCGCCTGTGCCGCCGGGGCGTGTGGCACACCTGGGGACATGAACCCGGGTTTACTCGCATGAGGGATGCGAGTCGACGAGTAGACCAGACCGGCCCCGCTGCGCGGAGGGTTGAAAAACTCACCCGGCAAGAAACCCCAAACGATGTGCAGAAGATCGCAAGGGTGAGTGAGAAAATGATTTGGTTGTGCTTGCGGCAGTCGTAGTGGTGGTAGTCGTGGCAGTGGAAGTGGGGATGGTTGTTGTAGTGGCGCACAATTCGCTGCGCCTGCCACAAAATCTGAAAGGCGCTGCACCTGCCTGCCACGAAAGTTGTACTTCGATGTTCACCATTGAATGCTGCGAAATCTCCACTTCAAAATTCACAAAATGCTGCCTGAAACAAAATCCAAACTTTGAGGTGCAGAAATGTCACTTCAAGGCTCACAAAGCGCCGTGCCATGAAATCTGAACTTCAAGGTTCACAAAGTGCTGCGCCTGCCGCGAAATCTGCACTTCCAGCTTACAAAGCCCCGCGCCTGCCACGAAGTTTGCACGTCAAGATTCACATTTTGCAGCCCTGCCAATGCGTTTCACAGCAAAAGCATTTCTAAAGACAACTAAGACAACATCCAGATGCCAAAGCGCTGCTTTCCCTCGATATGTCCACCAAATTCATCCAAATTCTGAAAACACCCTGAAGACACCAGGCTGTACTTACCATAAGAACCTCTCAGTGGTAGACACACTGCCAGATAGACCGTCCATGGGACATTTGTTGGATGGTTCTGGGATGTGTTCCATGTTTCGTTCGCCTATGGCCACGGTGCATTGGAAGAGATCCGAAGAAGACATGGTATCACATGGTGCCGCATGGAGTACACACATCGACCAACGTGCCAGGTGTACAGCAGGCAGGAAGGGCCCGCTGCGGGGGGGGGGTACACTGCTTGAAATCCGCATGGAAGCGGAGGGAACACCATCTGTTTCGGAACAGGGTCATCCGAGTCTTTTGGGCCATGCCATCCACGCAACCGTCATTGTTCCAGGGGTTTTTGCAGGAGCAAGATTGCGATCGCGGGTGTTCAAGGCTCCTGCGAGGCAGAAAAAGCCTAATTCGAGCTCCGGTCAAATGACTCCGAAGTCTATGTAAAACAGTTCTAGAACATGTTCTTCACAACAAAGACCTAATGATTGAGAGCTGTATGTTGCAAAAGGTTGAGTTGCCCGCCTGCTCACATTGTACAGTGCTCCGCGTGTTTTTTTCGGTTGCAGGTTGCGCTGTTCAGAAACGCCGTTCCGAGTTGACCCAAGTTGACTTGGTTGTATCATGTTGAACCGGTGTCAGAGGCACGTCAGGGTTTCTAAATGTAGATATTGAATCAAAGGTTGGAAGATGGAAGAGTCTCCAAGCAAGCGAACAGGTCGTACCTGAGGATGGGAGGAAATGAGATGACATGAGTGTGTCTTTGATCCAAACGCATGTGTTCCACAGTTCCACATGTTGATCAACTCTGTTCGTAAAAACTGGGACCCTCATCTTGTCATATCTTGTTGGCTCTTCCAGATTGCTCCAGATGTAAAACCAACCAAAAGTCAATCGGGATTCCTTTTGGTCCACAGGAGTCCACCGTTTCGACCGCAGGTCTCAGCGGCTCATGTTTCGCGATGGACAGTCGGATCAAAGTACGCGTGCTGGAACTGTGTGGCAACTCAGAGTCGGGGCAGCACTTGGTAATTTTAACATATTGGAACCTTTGTGGTGCCATGTCCAGTTCAGACATGTTAAAAAGGCGTTGAGTTCGGTCCAGAAATTCTTGCCGGTCCAGTTCCGAACGTCCGATGTTGTCCAGTTGGCCCCCACCGGCCAAATGGATTTGGGGTGTTGAGTTCTGAAGCCGCAGAACTCCGGATCAGAGCCTTCGTAGAAGTCAACGGGCTTGGTGACCTTTGATGCCTTCCAGAACTGGAAGAAGTAGGTCTTCTTGAAGAAATCTTGCCTCGGCCACCAGTGAAGGATGTGAAGTCCCTTACAAAATATATCATATCTCATGGTCCTGGGACAATTCTCCGAATCAGAATTGATGGGGAACAACCACGACATGTCCGAGCACGGTCTGACATGCACAGTGCTTGGACCAGAGCTTCGCCACTCCCCAAGCTTTCGGTGCTTTGGACCCCGCAGACCTGTCAGATGTGGAGTGCACCGAAACCGGCGTACGGCGTACTCGACGTGTGGACGTGACCAGGTCACGAGTCCAGAGGGCAGCGGAGATTCAGGAGAGGAGGCCACGGCCACAAAGGCGGCAGAAACGAAAGACCAGTCACGACGGACAAGCAGTCTCAGACGACCTTCGGGAATCGCTCCGACTTGGGCTCCACCGCGAGGCGAACATGCCTTGGCCTGAAGAGGACGCGTCGAACAACGAAGCACGGATCATGTCGCCCTGAGGTTTGGTATGTGGTCCTGTCCGCTCCAAAAAAAAAAACTGTTTGTGTCTTTTGGGCTAGGGCGGTTTTCTATTGTCAGTTCAACATTTGATCACTTGCTATCCCAGCCGGTCAAGGACCTCATTTCGCTGAGTCCGGCATTGGAAAACCTGTACTCAATGAGGTCAATGGCCAGGCTATTATCAATTCAGCAGGTCACACAACGTATTAAAATAGATTATAGATCATATCGTCACATTGGCCAACCCCCTGTATGAGCAGGGGAGGCCCTCATTGTTCCTGCTCCTAGTCCGAAAATGGGCCCCCTCTATGGTGTACTTCCGCAATGTCCCACAGGGCTCAGGCCATACTTGGTGGCGTCGATCCCCTGTAGTGCTGGCCTCCTTCATAGACAGCGATGGAAGTGATACCAAACATTCTATGTGGATGTAAGAGAAGAAGCAGAATCAACCGGCCAAACATGGCCCAGTCGACCATTCTGCTGTTCATGATACACTCCTGCATTTGAGCACCCCTGGATCCCCCTGCCGGGTCATGATTGTTAAGCAAAGGGTAGCTCTATTGGGTTCTTGCTTCTCAAGGTGAGGAAGAACCCCTATGCCAACTGAGATCTCCAGAAGACCACGGTAGGAAAACCAAAGATGGTGTAGATTGGTGTAGGAGTTCTTTAGTCGAAAGCTTGCGATCACAACAAAGAATCCTGGATCCCCTGTGTCAATGATGCCCTTTTCCAGGAGCCGGAAAAACTGCCAATGTATATCAATTGTATAGGCTCATACATGTTCAAACATTCTATCTTGGGATTTGAACCTAATATCAATCCCATTCAATCCCTACCAAACCCTCAAATCAGGATCAACATGGGTTGGAACGTTGAAAAGGATGGGATTTGGGGGTGTTGGAACGTTCAAGGCAGGACGAGGATTTGGCCCCAAACAGGTCATTGGGGACCTCCATTCCGCTGCAATCGACCGATGCCAGGAAGCGGAACGCACTTTGCGGCGTCGCAGGAGTGCCCATCGGTCGGTCGTTGCTCGCTTCACCCAGAAACGGCGCCACGAATTCGGTTCTTTGGGAAGTGAAACAGCCCGAAAAACTCTGGCTGCGCCATCAGTTTCGGACAAGAATATCAATCCATGCCCTTTCCATTTGCGTAAAGATTCCCACAAAGAAGGATTCTTTTGGGTGCTTGCTTGCTTGCTTGCTTGCTTGCGTGCTCACTTGCTTGCTTGCGGTCGTTCGTTCGTTCGTTCGTGTTTTTTGGCACCTCACGGGAGACTAGTGACTAGCATCCTAAGACCCCGCTGGGATTTGGGAAAATTCTGGCATCTTTGGGACTACAGGGTTCTTCAACTTGGGCCTTCCGCGCCGGACCATGGCACGATTGGCCAAGAATCCAATGAAGATCCTATGAGTGCTCTTACTGTTGCTTTGTGTTTTTTCCCCGGCAGTTCTTTTGCACCTGCCGTTCTGAACGGTGCATCTCAGACTCTTGGATTGCTCCCAGACTATTGGTGTCCTCTCAGACTCTGAGCTCGTCAACTGGTGACAGGCAAAGCACTACAATGATGCTCATCAATGTGCCGGAGTTTTTGACTCAGGCCACTTTTTTTGCAAGCCTTTTGGATGAGGCTTTTGGGGGGCCACTTGGAGAAAGTGCCCGGGTACCATGTGTCGGAGGATTGCTCGAATCACCAACGTTGGTTGTATCTTTGGCCTGCCAACCAAAACAGATTGCGGAAAGACAGTAGAATCTGCTGCACCAGACTGCCAAGCATAATACGCTGATGAGCTCATAGAAGGGAGATGCACTGCTCAAGCTTCAGCAAGACGTATGCAACTTTGCAACCCTTTATATTTCATCACCCACGGAATGGCAGGCCTGAAGGATTGCACTTTGGGGGATCTTGTCCGAGAATTCTGAGCTGAAGCATGTATGAAAACTGGGGGGGGAGGGTTTGGCATGCAGAGCGGAAGAAAATGGGGAACTGCACGCAGAGCATCTTCTTTCATCCGGTCCCGATCAGCGGTTCCCGAAGCCCAAGCGGAAGGCGGTTCAGGCGGTTCCCGGCGGCTCGAGCCAAAACGGCGGCGTCTGTTCGGCGGTTCGGGTCCATCGGCGAAGATCCAGAACGGGGCAGCGAGATGTGGACCATCGATCGGGTTTCAGCAACGTCCGATGAGGAGACCTCCCAATCTCAGGTCCGCAAGGTCCAGGTCCGCTTGCGCGGCTTAAACCGGTTGATGTGGGAGAACCTCCCAATCTCAGCATAGGTCCAGGGACGGGCCGGTCCAGGTCCGGCTTCGTCTTCCGGCTGGATGTGGGAGACGATTCGTGACCGGGGCGTTCCGAGCCTGTGGGTTCGGTTACATCGACTAGAACCCGGGCCAGCGGGTGTCTCCTATTAAAAGTACACACCCATGTTGGTTTTCTGTTTACAAGAGTTGGCACAGCTTGGCAATGCTTGGCACCTCAGATTCTATGAGCAAAAAAAACTCCATCATCCATGAAAAAGTGAAACATGGGGGCATCGTGGGGCCACATGGTCCCGAAAGGAAGACGGGTTTCCTCTACGAACAGGTGGTGACCTCCACCATGATTCCTTCAGGAAGAGTACTTTTCAGATCATGTTCAGCTCTTTTCGCTGTTCAGCTCGCCTCCATTCCCTTCGACCACTGCTCCGCGTCCGCTCCTCCGCGTCCGCTCTTCCACCCACTCGGCGCACCCGCGTCCGACCCCTGCAGGGGTCATTGATCTCCCTCCTGGAAGACCTTTCACCAAGCATGTCGGACGCCCCAAAGAGAGCTCCGCGAGTCGCTCGTCGCGGAGCTCCGATCCTGGTTTTCGGACGGGATGGGTGAGGATGTCCCACGAACTGGAGGTACAGACCACCCCGGACCCCCATGGCTCAAAGGAACGGGTCATGTTTCAGTGCAGAATGATTTCTGGAACGGGCCAAGGAGGTACAGCTCGTGGCGAAACCCAGCATGAAGCTCGTCCCCTCTCAGCCGGTCCTCGGTTCAGGAAATGCCGCGATGACTGGGTTCGAAACGAATGGCAAAAAGGGCTGCTTCGAATTTATTCAACAAAATGCAGATCATGCAGGAGTCCCTTTCGCAACACAGCGATGTTGGATGCGCTGGCTGGAGGAATCGAGCACGTAACCTGTGGGCCTGGAACTCTTCAAGGAGTCCAAATTCTATTATGGATTCTAGCAAGCAAGAAATACAAGACCATCACTGTTTCAGTTTGCTCGTTTGAGACTTGGAGACCCTCACAATTTCCAGAATCCTTTTCCAAGAAGCTCCATGCCTGTCCCCCCAAACGGAGGCCGCCAGAGAACACGGCGTGGCATCTTTCCCACCAGAGAATACGGCGTGAGCGGACCACATGACCTCTCACGTGTTCGAACGTGGAGTGAACAACGAAAGTGGAGCCCAGGCGAGAATCCTTCGACTTTTTCTACCTGCCCTGGGATGATCAGCAGGAGTCGCGGCCCGCGAACGCACGGCTTCGCTCTCTGCAAACTTCACCGATGAAACAACCAGTGGGCGAAAAGGGCTACTCAAGAGACATGTCAAAGACAATGAATGCAAAACAATAAACAAACGCAACGATGAAGGTAGTGTAATGTCCATACGCAGGAAATCAATATGGAATTCACCAGATAGCAATGATAGCATGTTGAACTTGCCTTACTAAAAAAACTATGAGCAGCCTTGAGCAGCATACCTCATTCATACACTGAATGTGAGAAACGTTTGAAGCGTATTATAGTGGCGGCCTAGCACTTAGAATAGTATTTAAAAATGACAAATTGGAAACAATTCATTTTCGAGAGCAGGCTCTGGAACATATACATTTTTTCAACAATTTGCAGTTAGAATATTAAAAGATATAGAATATGTTTATATAGGCCTAAAAAAAACTAAATCAATTAGAAAAACAAACAACGTGTCACAAACCTGAATGCAAAGCCTCAGGGTTTGGATCGAATATGAATAAAAATGCCATTGAAACTCAGAAAATCGTGAGAAAATCGATGGTCGATGCAATCCTTTCATGGACTGATTTACCCCTTGGTTGAAATATTCTAACTGCAATCTTTGACGTGATCGCACAAGGCTGCAAATTAGCTGCAAATAGAAAAACAAATAATTGTTGGAAGTAGAGAAACTGTAATAAAGAAACAACTTCCTTCCGAATGGAACACCAAGAGGTTTGGATGTATATGTTATATATATATATTTATGTATTTATTTATATATATTCACATATATGTACATGGGTAAAGTCATTGGAATCACCCTTGGTTGCAATATTAACACAAACAGCAAGCCCTGAAGGCTTAAAGAGACAAACGAAGACATTGTTGCCAAGTCAAAGAACTTCTAACAAAACCAATAATAATGTGTGACACAGAATATTTACATTGGTGGAAAACCCAAAGGTTTGAATGGATGTACATATATATATATATACACATGGTGCACCCCTTGGTTGAATATTCTAACTGCAAGCTTTGACGTGCTCACACAAGGCTTGGTATATACTAGTGGCAAATAATAGAAAAGCGAATGATTGTTGGAAAGTCAAAAGGCCTCAGAGAAGAAAAGAAACTGTAAAGGAAGCAATTTCTTTCAGAATGGAAAACCAAAAGGTTTGGAAATAGATATATATATATATTGTGTGTATATATATATATAAAGTCTATTGGCAAAGTCATTCGAATCAACCTTGGCTGAAATATTCTAACTGCAAGCTCTGCTATTTGAAAGCACCAGAACCTTTCACTTAGAATAGTTCGATATATTCTATATTATGTTTGTTCTAACTGTATGGTTTTCCCTCAACCTGCACATGTATTCTAACTGCTTGTTCTAAATGTTCGATTATTCTATGTGCTAGGCCGTAACTATACCTTTGGGCGAAAAGGACAGTAGTTCTTTCAATCGAAAGCACCATCTCAAGATGGATGCTTCATCAGTTTTTTCCGATCGCAACTCAATCCTCATTCCTTACCCGACCTCTCTCTCTCTCTATTAGATTAGAGGCCATTGCTTCTAGGTTGGAAGCCATCACTATTAGGCTCCCCCTTTCTCTCTCTTTTCCACATTGGTTACCCAGGAGCAAAATCTGGGATATGCGATCATCAACTTTTTCACGAGGCGGGATAGCGACAAGTCGTTGGACTTCGGGAGAGACTGCTTTCAGCATCACCGAAAAGAACGAGATGCCTGTGCCGATTTCGTGAGGAAGAGAATATATATACCCAGACACTCCATGTATGGCATAGTTACCTACATTGGGGGTGGTTTCAAGGGTCAATGTAGGCACATATTCGCTACATGGCGTGTTTGGGATAGATCGTTCTGTTGCACCTCCGAGAGATAGCGTTCTGTTGGACGCGTTTTGTTGAAGTGGTGTTTGCTTGTTGACGCCTCTCGCACAAATATGTTGGTTTTTTTCCTTTGGAGGGGCCACACCTTTGCATACCTTTGCTGCAGAAACTCTGAGATAACAGCAATGGCACAAAATCCAGACGGCACTTCTTTGCTGTCTAGACCCCCATGCCACCCCGCCATTGCGGCACCGTGATTCAGCTTCCAGGAATATTTCAACCAATGTATAGTGGAGTGTATGTGTTTACAATTGATTGAAGAAGTACTAGAGTTACTAGAGGGCTGAATTAGTGGGGGGTCCTTTGTGTGTCTCCTTGAACACATCTGACCAATCTTTCGATGGAAAAGGGCTGTTTCCAAGCGATGCTTGGCCCTAACTAGGGTGCAGGTTTGCCTGCTTCTAGGTATATAAACGGAACTCAACACCATCTACAGAATGAATCTATGTCCTCTCCCCTCTCCCCAGAAACCCAAGCCTCTCCCTCTCCCCGACGTCCTTGTCGCGACCTTTCCAGGGCGGGCGCCGAACATTTCACGGAGAAGTGGTCCGAACAACCATTCCCGGGGCCCCATGGCCTCAGCGTCGACGTTCGTCGGCGAGAACGGCCTCGATGTGGTGCAGTGGGGCATGGCCCGAAAAGGGAGGTCCATCCGTGAAACAGCTCAAAAGCCACGAGTGTTGGGGAAATCAGGCTGATCTTGTTAAGAGAAACCTCCAGTGTCGACCGCCCTTACAGGGCGCCCCGGCAAGAAGAAACGACTGGTGTCTCGTGCTTGTTTTGTCGCGACGACTTGAGGAGCCTCGGACAGCGGTTGCGCGTTGTACCAGCTGCTTTGCAGGCACCAACGATTCTGTCAGAGTGTTTTCCAGAATGCGAATGCGAAGTAAATCCTTAAGTCGCTCTTGTGACAGTTGGACAGTGGACAGGATGTCTTAGGACCTCGGAATAAAAAAGAAGATTATACCACAGGTAGAATCCAAAGTGCAAAAAAGGGGTCAGGTGATTTTCCAACAATGTGTTTCGATAGTTAAGTTCCTACCAAGAAAGGTCTTGTCATGTTGCAAAGCTGATAAGACTAGATGTAAAAGAGTCTACGCTACAGCAGAACAGTGTTGCCTGTCATATGGTCTGGCAGAGTCTGGCAAGGTCGTAGCAGTTGCAAAGCAAGGCCATTCATTGACAGCACCTGCACCGAGCATCGCCAAGCGCGCACTGCCAAGGAGCCATGTGGAGCAAGGACCCCCAACGCTATCGCAGGATGTACCATCTCCATGTCAATATCCTCTATGAAATCACAGGGGTCCACCCCTACTATAAAACGTGAATTGACACGGGGATGGTGTACCCCAACGATTCTTGACTGAGCTCTGACAGAAACGATGGGATAGGACCATGTTGAACCCATTTTGGACAGTCCGAATCGCATGCTGCCTGGCCGAATCGCGTACGGTTCACCGGCCCTGAACATGCAGGGACGCGAGGCCAATGTGCAGCACTTTTCGGGATTCCGTGGTGGGCCCCAGTGGTGACGAGGGTGGAGAACAGGGGCAACGGGAGAGTCAGGAGATCCAAACAAACTCATAGATGGCAAATTCCATTGTGAGGGTGTTATTTGCTAGCCTTCACAGGGCCTGGGAGTGCATGCTGGATTTTGCAGAATCGCACTTAAAGACGAAGACGACCGGTCTGAGAAGATCAAGGTCTCCACAAAGGAACAGCTCCACCTGGACTTTGGGCAACTCTTATCATGTCTTGGTGTCGCTTGATGGCTCTTAGTTGCTCGCAAAACTGAGTCTTGATTCCCCGTCATGAGGTGTTTTTTGCTTCGGTCACCCCGGAAGAGTCCGCATCTCGTCTAACGACTCCTTACCCCGTTGAACTGCTCCATGCAGAATGAAACATACGGTGGTGGGCATGTGTTCTTGCGAACCTTGGGCCTGGCGAAGCCTCCAATCCTTAGAAAAGACACTATGACCTACTGTGCGTTTTTTCCATTGTGCGTTGGGTGATTCTGCCTCTCAGGCCTTGCGCAAACGGCAGATCATCGCTTTCGACCTGCTGACTCTTCGCTGCAATTGGACATGGCTGTCCGTGGGTCCCTTTGTGGGTCCAAAAAGATGCGCGTAAGTCTTCACGTGCGTCGTCACACAGCCCCCCCTCCCTCCGAGCTGGAGCTGGGGGTCTCACCCTGGGGCGGTATAGAAGCGGTCTCACCTGGACCTCTGGAGGTATCAGTGGGGTCTCCAAGGCATACTCACAGTGGGCAAGGGGAAACTCCCCAGACCTAACGGGCTGTATACGGTAGGTTTGTATGTTGCATAACCGGACATATGGGCTACAGCGTCTCAGAGACTTTGTGAGAAGCAAAGAAAATGACTAGCAAAGAGCATCTATATGCATCTATGTTCTTCCAATGCTGTGGCCAGCTAAATCCAAGAGGGTCACTTGGCTTGAAGTCGGAGCTTGGGACATGGGGCACGGACACAAGCTACAGACGGTATCAGATTGTCACCAAATCCTGCTGCTACACCCAGCGGCAGATTCTCTGTTTGTTTGTGTTTGTGTGTTGCAAGACTTTCTTACTTTTTTATATCTAGTTTGACTTAAGGCATAAGGGGCCCGAGACTGGAGTGGGTCTCCAGGGCTCTTTCAATGGAAACGGTGGACGCCCACATGGCCCACACAGACAGACGTTCACTGGGGAAAGGGCTTGGGCTCTTCCCGCGACTGAGCACCGGACCTTGGCCGTCCACGGAGCGATGGGACGCCCTTCCTTTTTCGGGCGAAGCTCCTGAAAACGCCCTGCTTTCGGAGCTCCTCCTTTTCTCCCCGGGGGACCGAGCGTAGCTTCGTCGTTTCCGTTGGCTCGGACTCGGGACCTGGGTGTCCCCAGTCTCAACCAGAAAGAAATGGATGGAACTCCCCAGTTCCAGCCATTTCCTATGTAAAGGATCCATACGTGCCATATTGGAACAACCATTTCTTTCTGGTTGGGACTGGGGGTTCCAGGGGATGAACCAGAATGAGCCGGCGGGTGAAAACGTCCATTCCCGAGGTCCGAGTGATGCCGGACGAGTCTCTACAGCCTATGTTGTTGGCGGAGGAGTGGGGTCTTGGCCCAGGTGTGGGCCGCAAAAGAGGCAGGATCTTGATCCGACAAAAAGCGCTCCAAACCACCTTTGACCAAGCTGAAAAGGGGGTCTTTCGTCTGTTCAGTGATTGCTTGGAGAGTCAATGGCTCGACGATCGACGTCGGGATGCGAGCGATCCGACACCGCCGGTGTTCGAGATCCGAAAGAAAGTCCCTCCTTGCCTTCATCCATCTTGATCTAATGATGACTCTTGATGAATAACATCGAATCACTTAACCCCCCCGAGTTGGATTGAGAAACCTCTCCATTTTGGGGTTGATTCATGTTTCGAGTCTACATGATTCATGGTGTCGGCGGTGTCGCTCTTCAGCCACGAGGAGTTGCGGACACTCGGAGCGTACGCCCGGAAGACCCAGGGTGTTCGGCCGGTTTTCTCATCTCTCATCAGCTACTCTGGAGAGAGAGAGAGAGAGACAGAGATGAGAGAGGGAGGAAGAGGTATCCCCAAGACCTATACTGTTGCCCCTGGTGAAGTAACGGTTCCCGAAAGACCAAAGCTGTTCATCGTTTTTTGTCTCCAGGTGTGTGTGTGTGTGTCTATACTAGCTGTATAATGCTATATATATATATATTAGTCTTTTCATACAGATACACATAAAGTTGCACGTCAACTTGTCTCCAAGACAAGTTTCAGAGCAGAACCTCCAATTGCATGATTCCAAGACCACCGGTCCAGAGCAACACGGGGCAGGCTCCAACATCGCCCCTGTCCACGAGCTTGGAATGCCTTATTTGCGCACCCAACCCTCCTAAGTACATGGTCAGCAAAACTGCCTCCCCCACCCTTGTGGTAAGTTTTTTTCCCACCTTGATTTCAGGAGCCCCATTTGACAAAGGCAAATTTGTATCAATGTAATCGAATTCCGAGTTCCGATAGCACAAAAAACACGTCCTTCAACCATGAAGCGCAGACTTTGGGCATGCATTACTTTGCCACAACATCAATGAGGATAAGGCAGATAAGGGTGATACAAGTTGTCCTTGCAACGGGCCTATGCTTTTGTCAAATTGAAGGACTTGTCCCGTGATGCTTACCTGCATTTGCCCAGATAGATGAAGTTACCAACCCCCCCAGTTCCAATCAATCGAAGCCGGCTCGCCTGTTGTGCGTGCCGGCAAGGCATTTGTATAGCAGCATGCTGTACAACTATGCATCTATTATATATATACCTAAGACTTCGAACATCTGTCTTTTTATTGTCTTTT